ACCAGTAGAATGTATGAATGTGACTCTTTATACTCAACTGGTTGGTTGAAACAAAATCTTGTTCTGGACATTTACCTCCTGGATTTGAAAGTCTACCTCTGGCCCAGGGTGTACCTGTGCCCTTTGCATCCAGGAATAGACTACAAACCCTTTTCTGGATCCCAAACTGGTAAAGTGCTTAAGATATGGATCAATATCCTATTTAACAACGTTTTAAGTGCATGCAGTCATCAAATTGCATCCAATCATTACAGCTGAGGAGGAAATAGGATGTTATCTGACACCTCTCAGCCACACCGCCGTTCTTCCCATAAGATTTAAATGTAGGCCATTCTGGTACAGGATAGGAAGCGTCATATTTTAAAGGAAAGGCAAGTTCATTAACTCAAACAGTAAACTTCCTCTTCCGTTACGCCTCACTCGCATTCTTCCAGGAACATCAGCACGTCTTTAACCATGTTTTTCTATGTTTTCATTATAGAAATGAAGAAATGAATGAATGAATATTATATTTATCCATAAAGGGCTAAATGTGGAGAGACCACTCTGACAGCCATAAAAACCTCGCTGTTACACTGTCTGCAGCCTCGTGCTGCTTAAAGGGCCATCGTGATTGGCTGCTTGCCACGGGCAGCACAAGATTCCCCATTTGAGCGCCATAGAAATACCATGATGCACTTGTCCTTTCCGTGCCCCGTCCTTTCAGGACCTTGACCGGGTGTCTTGCTCAGATGCCACATCACCCACGCCAGTCGATGTACAGGGGTCACATCCCTTAGCCCTCGATCTGTGTCATTCTTTGTTAAGGAACTCTGCCAAATGTAATGGAACTAAGGGACTTTTTTTTTTTTGGTTTTTATTGTTGCATTTTCATCAGAGAGCAGAGGTTCAAGCACAGCAATGGAAAAATCAGTTTTTTTTATCCCCATTTGCCCTGTTTTGTTACACAACAAGCAACTTTCCACTGTTAACTTGCTAATAAGACAATTTCAGTGGGGGTGCCACGAGAAATAAATTTTCAAATTTTTTAGAGCCCCCGTCTGCCTGGTAATCATCCTACCTTCCCCCCCTTTATGGCGGTCCTCAATGTAAGTAGAGTGAGCGTTCTCATGTCCGGCATTCAAGGAACCTTCACAACTGAATCACATCAGAATAAAAATGAGAAATTCATAATAATAAGTCATAACACTGTTCTATTAAAATGTTACTTTTATTGGAGTAAAAATAATAAGACAAACACTGCATAATACTTCTGCCACTTCCTGTGCATTCATACAGAGCAGCATGCTTTAATAGACTTTCTACTTGTTCCGCTATTGTGATCTCTTGTGTTCCATTGAATATCTGACATTGCAGCATGTACAATAATAATAATCAATAATATTCAATGTGTGTGTATAAAAGGATTAAAATAATTGTATGAAATGTGTTACAATTCAGTATTTTTCAAGACTAACATTAAACTTTATGTAGTTATCTATCCATCCATTTTCTATACCCACTTGTCCGATACAGGGTCAGTTACATAATACAGTAAACCATGTTTTGTGTGAATCGGTTTAATGAGCCTTATGTTTTATATATATATATATATATGTATGTATGTATAAACTGTAACACACCATAACATTTATCAGAGGAAAATGATAAGCAAAGTGACCCTGCTGGTATGTCCTGCTTTCTCATGAATTTCCAGCATCCTGTAACTACTTATGCCTGTGACCTTTTAGCTAAAATATTCAACAAAGCATGCTGAGGATCTCAGCTTTTCAATTTTTTTGGAACTGTGAATTTACTCCATGAACTTGCTGAGCAACACTCAAAATGTACATTTTTTTTTATGTAAATAGCGAGTCACATGAAGTTCGAAGATCTTGGTTATTAGTTCAGTTGTCAGTTATGTGGTATTTCCTCCAAACATTGAAAAGCTGTCTGAATGTTGTGGTGACTATAACTCAGATCACACTACAATGCACTTGCAACGTCTTGAAATTCTGTAGGCTGAGATAAGCAGTAACACTATCAGTCAGTAAAATTAAAAATATATTAAAGGCCAGCAGAGCAGTATGGTGTTTCTGTGGGTGGCCCTGTTGCCTTCCAGTGCCAGCGTTTGATTCCCTACTCTCCTCTTATATTTCTGTATTTTACATGTTCTCCCCATATCATGCAAGTTTTATCCTGGAGACCCAGGATGGCTGATTGTTGTCTCTAAACCTGCCTGTGGTACCCTGGAGATGCCCTGCAATATTCTGGCATCTCTTTCCATGTGGATGAACTGCAGATGGGAATCTTATGGCTGACTTCCTATAGCATATAGTTCCTGTAGTTTTACCCACCCAAGGTTTTCGCTAAAGAAAACATTACTGCTTTATGCAAGGCACAATTGTGCAAGGAAATATATGACTTTCTGATTTGGCTACAAACATATACATACTAAAAATGGCAACAGCAGTAATAACTGGCCACACCTTTAAAATTTAATTTCCATTTAATTTAATTTAATTTCACATTTTGGCAGTTAAGTGACACTAGGAAGTGCCAGGAAAAGTGATCAGTTAATGTGCAGCAGATATAGTCTGCATTTTCATGCTGAGTTTTCTTCGGTATGGCGGTGGCAGACTAACTGACTCCTCGACATGCCGTCCTTGAATCACTGTTCGCTGCTTGTTGCCAGAGAGGAAATGGTTACACTTTGCCAGGGACTTTCACTATGTGAGTCAGTGGACCTGGAGACATGCTTTATTTTTTTAGCATTTTTTGACGCTTAAGCAACCAGACGTCTCTGTCGGCTACAAAAAAATTGGGTAAATGCGTCTCCCAGACTGTGGTTGCATGACAGTTGCTACTGAATGCAAAATGTTATAAAAGCAGCCAAAACAAGGCACCTTAACACAAAATTATCTGAAATTATGTTATATAAAATCTGTGGTATTGTATTTACAATATTGTATAATAATGTCAAATTGAAGTTACAATTATGATACATATGTAGTACATAATGATATAAAATTGGCATAAATTATTAAAAATCAGCATGAAAGTTTTTGTTATAGATATGATGAGCAGGTGACAATTGTTCTTTAAAAATCATTAAAATCAGAACACCATAAAATTGATGCAATTTATAAACCATATGTTAGGCATAGAAGCTGCCCATTGCATAAGAAATAAATCTGAACAATGCAGTAAAATAGTGTATTTTCATAAAACAGATCTCAGCAGAAAGCAGACCTTTACTGACCTTGATATCATTATAGACTTGACAAAGGGTCCAGAAGCACAAGGCTAAGAACTGACCTGAGCTATGTAGAGTATCACTGGGATAATAGAGACTCGTTATCTGTCAGATGGCCTCTGAACTAGCATGGTCAAAGGTCAGATTAAGAAGTAATACAATCATAACACTGGCCGGTCATGTTGCTGTTATGTAACAGCAAAGTTTTACTTCAGAAACTCCTAGTTCAGCATGTGTAGAGTTTGTATGCTGTCTCCATGTTAATATGAGATTTCCTCTTGCTGGTTAGGTGAGCTCACAACTTTAAATTTACCATAATTTGTGAGCGAGGGCTAGTGAAGAATTGGCAGATGTGAGGCAGTACTGTACTGGATAAATGGTAGAAGATGGATGAAACTTGTTCAGAATATTCTTTAAAAGATGTAAATCCATAGTGTGCTTTATATTGTTAATTATATGGAATAAAAACCCATTTGCAGTAGAAAATGATCCTCCTCTGAGGATTATAACTGTAGAAAAGTGGGGTGAGGTTCAGGTATGTTAATGATCTGAGATTCGGGTTTTGTCCAATGGGGAGAGACTTTATAGTCCAACAAAGAGAGAGAGAGGTAAGGAGCGCGTTGATACAGCGTGTTGCCGTACCCGCCACACGACAAACCACCTTAGGGACGAGACTCGAGTGCAGCCGTGCGGAGGGTGATAGTCTAACAAAGATGCCCATGAAATTTACGAGTAAATATCAGAGTAACCTGGCCAGATTAGGGCTACCATGACCTCCCTCTCGAGGCTTTTGGGTGATATTCACCGGCAAGTGGCTGGTGGCCCAGCTGCCCAGGTAACCTAGTCGGGCTCAGGCTGAAAAGGAAAATCTTATGGACTCAACACATGTTGAAGATGAAAGGTGAAGGTCAGATAAAAGGTCATATGTGTAACTTTATTGGGAAGGACCTAGATGAATCAGACTTTACCAATGGATGCTAGCTTTCCCTAGTAGGGAAAGAGTTTGTGTAGGAGATCAAAAGGTCCTGGTTAAACATAGTTGGCCTTATCTCTGTGCATAGGTTGGTCTCTGGAACTGACCCTCTTGATGTCTCCGATTGTTACATTTCATCCATCCATCCATTACCTTCCACTTGTCCGGGGTTCGGGTCGCGGGGGTAGCAGCTTCAGGGGGGATGCCGAGGCGTTCCCAGGCCAGCCGATAGATATAATCCCTCCAGCGAGTCCTGGGCCTGCCCCGGGCCTCCTCCCTGTAGGACATGCACGGAAAACCTCTCCGGGTAGCCGCCCAGGAGGCATCCGCACTAGATGTCCAAACCACCTCAACTGGCTCCTTTCGACGTGGACCTCGAATGATCTCATTCTTTTGGTCATTTCCATCATGAGCTATGGGTTAAATTTCATTTCAGCTTAATTCTTCAGAGAAACTGTGATTAGCCAAAGGTCAACAAACTGTCAAAACATTTGACATCCTGCTATTCGCAAATTTTAAAATAGGGAAATTACCTAATTTGTCTTGGCCAGTTGGTTTCTCACTTCGAGAGCTATAACAGAAATTGTGTGTCACTGTGTATTGTGTTTAATTCAAGTGGTTACTAATTTCAGAACAACAACTAAACTGCTCTAATAATGATTTGTTACATAAAATATACCTTTTCCATTGATGTCTAATATAAGTTTATCTGGCACAAAATTCATGTCTTGCTTTTTCACAACATAGGTTTTCTTCAGCGAGCTCTGACTAAATGTCTCTGCCCTTTCAAGGGGGGTGTGGATCATCAATTATTTAAAAACTGAACTTCTTTTAACAATATCCTTTTAACAATAACAAGCTAAACAGCTTCCTGTCTGTCATCTCCACACATTCTCCGCTTAAAGAGAAAAACCTCCACCAACATACACACAAGTTAGGAAGGTCAACAATAAGCAGGCAGGAAAATGTTAGATAAAGGAAATTCCATTACGGGAATTCCTAGCGTCATGGTTTCGGGAAATGTGGGATAACCCTTCAGAGTCGCCTGGGTATATAAGAGTAAGACAACAGAGAGTCACAGCATTCAATCTGCCATCTCAACAAAGGACCTTCTACTGAAAGAGTTCTGCCTGACAGTCAACAATGGTAATTTCTTGCAAACATGCAAATTAGATGAAGCAGCATCTATGTGTGTATCTTGATTGTAGTAAATCTATAACTGTCTTCTTTGTAGAAACACTGCCTTGGACCGATGAGAGCTCACGCTGTCTGCTTTTCAAGACCCCTAGGACTCACCACCATACTTTTTTTGGGTAAGAAATGTTTATTTGTCTCTAATTCATAATTAGCTGCAACCCTCTATCATGATCAATGTAATGCATAGAAAACCGAGAGAGGAATGAGTTACTAAGATATGCAAGGCTTGGGCTGTTCTTCAAGTTCATAGTGAGTAAAGGAAATAATAGCTGAATTCAGTTTTATTTAAAAATATCTGTTTATTTCAGCACTTGCACCATGGACAGAAGTGCATTCCTGGTCTTACCATTACTCTAATGATACAATGGACTGGAATGCAGCTCGCGACTGGTGCAAGAGACAATTCACAGATATGGTGGCCATTCAGAACCAGGAGGAAATCGTTCACTTGATGAACATACTGCCATTCAAGAAAACCTACTACTGGATCGGGATCCGCAAAATCAACAACGTGTGGACCTGGGTAGGGACCAATAAAACGCTCACGGCAGAGGCGGAGAACTGGGCAGCAGGAGAGCCCAACAATGGCGGGAATAATGAGGATTGCGTGGAGATTTATATCAAGAGGCAGGTCGACCAGGGAAAATGGAACGACGAGTCCTGTTCAAAATCGAAAGCAGCTTTATGCTACACAGGTAACTTGAGATCAGTATTACAGATCGCACTTGCATCACGACTAGAAAATGCAATTAATAAAGAAAGGGAGTTCTATTACTGCTTATGCATTTTATCCCACTAAAATGGATAAATCCCTAATTTTTGTAATTTTCCAGCCTCCTGCCAGGCTGATTCCTGTAGCGGTAACGGGGAATGTGTGGAAATGATCAACAGCCACAAGTGCCGATGTTTCGAAGGTTTCAACGGAGACAAGTGTGAAACTGGTAAATGCAGGTCTCACAGATAACACACAGTGCGCGATGTATCGTGACCCCCCCGTAACTAGTGACATCACTCTTTGCAGTGGCGCAGTGCAAGGTGGTGGAGCAGCCTTCTCACGGCTACGCCCTGTGCTCGCACCGTTTCGGAAACTTCACCTACGGCTCCACCTGCGAATTCCGCTGTGAGGAGGGCTACAGCCGCGATGGTTCTGCCACGACAAATTGCACGGCCGCTGAGTCGTGGTCAGCGCCGTCCCCGAGCTGCAAAGGTAATACAGCTGTTGGTATATTTAGATCATCTACCCATGAAACTTAATATGTACCGATCATTAAAAAAGCTGATATTTCTTTTGCACCCCCGATCCCCCTCACAAACTGACAGTGTCCTTTCAAACCCTCAGTGATGCAGTGTGAAGCACTGGTAGCACCCCCGCGTGGCTCCATGAGCTGCACGCATCCATTGGGCGACTTCAGCTTCCGCTCGGAGTGCGAGTTCGACTGTGAGGAGGGGTACCAGCTGACCTCCTCCAGCACGGTGCAGTGTGGAGCGCAGGGGCAGTGGAGTGACAGGCAGCCTCAGTGTGAAGGTACGGCTCTTAGGGCTGCTGCTCAGTGTGATTTGGTTATATAATAATGCAAACCTTAAATCGCAGTGTATTTCAATGTGATTCGTGTCATATTCATTGTTTTGTCAGTATAATTTGATCAGTATTAGCATTATCATATTAAATATGTGGAA